TCTTGCAGATCGAAACATGCAATCCACATATACACAGTGCTAACCGACTAGATGGACATATCCCACGCATGCAGGCTCAAGGCCTGAGCACGATATACCACTCACGGCTTACACCCTCGCGTCTCAAAGACGAACTTCGAGTGTACATGAAAGACAACTTGGCCACCGTGGTAGATAGTACTGGAGAACCCGAGCCACCTCGCATATACCGCGCACTCGGTTCCTTAGATTGGAAGATATTCGCAAAGATTGGGTTGGGAAAGCGAGATCTCTATAGGGACAAGGCCAGACCCTAAGGAAGCAGCGCGAATGTAGGCGATGCAGACCTCGCTAATGTCACTTATTTTATTAATTTGTATTGCGCTGCATGATAGCGAACACTACATTCTTGGTGGTCAGTCCATCCAACCTGCATTCGTTCCGTCGAGTAAGTGAAACGCGCGACACGAAACTCCAAACTTCCGGAACTTCTAGACTACCAACTGACAAGCGGGACGTTTCTGCATCTTCACTAGTAGCTTCACCCTACATGGCTGTCACTGCTGCCAAGACCGACATCCTCAACATGAAACCTGACACATCCCTCTCATAGATTGTCAGCTGTCGGACGATCGGTTTCGTCAACGGGACGCGCAAACCAAACACAGTCTTTTTTCCAGGATACCAGGCCTGTTTCCACGTTTCCTCGATTCACGACTGCACGTGTGTTCGGGCCTACTCAGTCATCGCATTGAGTGCATAGTACCCGTGGTATAACCGACGATAGGCATGATGCGCTTGGAGGTTTGGGGTGCGGGTGGTGTGGGACGTCGTCGTATACCACCGACACGCATGTTCAGTAAACCAACAGTACGTATTCCTAACACAATGGCTATAAAGATGTTCGCAGCCTGCCCACTGCAAAATCCTCATCCTCATCAGGACCAACGATCTCTTCCTTGCTTCCAACACCTTCCCTTTTCCACATTCTCTTCTCCAGCTCAGTGCCGGTCACCCTTCTTTTCTTGACTGTGTCATCTTTGCTGTGCAATACCTTCATTCCCCTACTTTCACTTCAAACCACCCGGAAAACCAACAAAACATGCGTTTCTCTCTGACTACCATCGCGGCAGCGGCTCTGATCGTTTCTGTCTCCGCGGCACCTGCTCCTGCCCCAGCTAAACCGACGGAACTTTCGGCTCGAGGCCCCGCTCCTACAAAGGCTCATGGCCATCGTGGTGGCCATCGCGGCAAACACGGCGGCGGTCAACGGAACGGCACCGAGTCCAGCGGTCCTGGCTCTGATCCCATCGGCTCTGGAATGGGAATGGGTGGTGGCTCAGGACGAGGTGGCCAACGCAATGGTGGTGACCCCGGTTACTTTCCTGGAGGTGGTGCTGCTCCCACGGGCGGCTTCCCAGGCTTTGGCGGTCAGCCATCCGACCCTCAGATGACGGGTGCTCCTATGTTCACCCCTGGAAACGACTATGAGCGGAGGTCTGTTGAGTCCGAACCTGTTGTCACGAAGCGTCAACCCTTCGGTCTGGCTTGGAGAGCGAGCGATGACGAATCTAAAGACACCTCGGATTCCAAGGACTCTGCAGGTGATTCATCTGACTCCAAGGACGGTGCTTCTGACGCCAAGGATGACAAGAAAGACAAGTCGAAAGGCTCTTCTGGCTCTTTGGATAGCAGCGAGGAGTCTTCCAGTGGCAAGGACAAGTCTTCCGACGACGCTAGCGACAGCACTGAGGATGCAACTGGCGACTCCGGTTCAAGCTCTAGTGGAGATAGCGGTTCAAGTTCGGGATCAGGTTCGGACTCCAGCAGCGGTAGCGGAAAGGGCAGCGGATCATCCTCAGAAAGCGACTCATCTTCGGGAAGCGACTCTTCCTCAGGCAGCGACTCGTCTTCGGGTAGCGAATCATCTTCAGGAAGCGACTCATCATCGGGAAGTGACTCATCTTCAGGCGGAGGCTCTTCATCAGGTGGTGGCTCCTCATCAGGTGGTGGCTCCTCATCAGGTGGTGGATCTTCCTCCGGTTCGGGAACTCAAACTGGATCGGGCTCTGGATCAGGCAACTCCACTATGCCCAGCTCAGGTGGTAGTGCAGCAAGCGGTACCATGCCTGCAGCAGCTGGCGAGTCTACTCTCTCCAAGACAATGATGGTAACCGGCGAATTCGATGGTGGCATGAAGCGTTTCGGCCGTGGAGTGTCTTGCACCGGTCAATCAGAAGGAGGAGACAGCGACGCCGTGTTCTCCATCGCAAACGGGGGTACTCTCCGCAACGTCATCATCGGAGCCGATCAGATCGAGGGAGTACACTGCCAAGGAGCCTGCACCATCGAGAATGTCTGGTGGGAGGACGTTTGTGAAGACGCACTCACCTTCAAGAAGGACGGCGACGGCACAGTCACCGGTGGCGGAGCTATGGGCGCATCCGACAAAGTTATCCAACACAACGGCGCGGGTACCATTTCAATCTCAGGCTTCACAGTCTCAACCTTTGGCAAGCTCTACCGATCATGTGGAAACTGCAAGACCATGGGCGAGCGCCACGTCAAGATCGACAAAGTCAAGGCTACAGGCGGAACAGCGACTTTCGTTGGTATCAACTCCAACTACGGCGATACCGCTACCATTACCAACTCTTGCGTCACGGGCACAAAGGCTATTTGCGAGGAGTTCGAGGGTAACGATACGGGTGCTGAGCCTAAGCAGATCAGCGAAGGACCTAGCTCGGCTTGCATTTATACACCAGCTGATATCGCCGCTTGTTGATTGGATTTGATGGGATAGGCGGAACGTGGGATTTGGGACTTTGGCAGAGCACATGGGTGCTTGGAATGTCCTCGGATTGGCGATGGAACTTACACTCATTTCACTACCATTCTTTCTGTACATACTCTCTTTCTACACAAATGAAGTACAGATGTCTTCCACTATCATTGCTCATACCACCGCTGACCCTCAGTTGGGTTTGCAGCCTAATCCATCTTCCCAAGTTAACACTGATGATTCGCTCACTTACGGTGACACTTTGGTCGCGATCATCGCTACCATAGGCCTTCTACCACAACGCCGATCTCGCTCTCTTGACTCACTCATTTTCGCATTTTCACCACTTTGCTCAAACGCACACTGTCTGTGCGCGTCCCCGCCCTGCAACTATAAAAGTGCGTGGTCCCCCACGCCCAGCGACAAACAGTTTCAACGACAGCAATCGCAACACTTGCAACACCCTCAACTACAGGATCATCGACTCTACTAACTAACAGAATGCCTTCTTTCCTTACTCCGCCGCGCTTCGGCTTTGGCGCTTCTACTACTACTACTACTACTAACACAAACACTTCCCCGACCTGGGGCTTCGGCCCTGCGCTGCAGGGTGGTATGGGTCCTCCTGCGCCTGCCTCCTCAAACAAATCCCCGACGTCACCCATGTTTGGTTCAAGTTCTCTATCGCTAGGCGCAAAACTCCCCAGTTCTACCGCCGCCCCAGCAGTCCAAAAGCTGCCCGCCGTATCCCCGCCCACCGGCCTCGTCTTCGCCTCTGTCGCCACCGACGCGACAGGCAAGCAGACGACCAAGAAGATCCAAGACCCCACCACCATTCTAGACGGCGACATTCACGCAGTTCGTATCTACCTCTCTCTCGAAGACCTCCCTCCCTCACCCCTCCACGACATCCTCCTCAATTTCCAAAACCAAGGCGCCAACCCACTCCAAGAAATACACCTCTGTATCCGCTCGCTCCTCCGCCCATGTCTCCAGGACATCTACGAGGATCGTGAACTAGAAGAGGCCATGCTGTTAATGGTCGATCAGTGGTTTGCCTTTGGCACCACGGTCAAGTTCTTCTTCCACCGTCCTGGTGTAGACACTAATCGCGACCGTTTCCAGAACTTTGTCGAGAAGGACTTGGTTCGCGCGGTTCAGGGTTTGGCAGAGGGCGATGTGGAGTTATCGGAGATACTGGGTGAGGAGAGTTGTGTGTTGGGGATGGGGGCGGTGGCCGATGGCGCGGTTCGCAAGCCTGTCGCGGCTGAGTATGGTGTTTGCGATGAGATGATCTGACGAGTTGACGATTTGGTTCCTTTGATGGTTGTAATACTAGCGCGGTGTTGCGGTTGAGGTTTTGCATCTTTATCGCTCATACTAACATTTAGTTCTAAAAGTTACAACGGCGGAGGCGTAATCTGAAGTAAGTAATACAAGTACCGAAAGTACCTGTTTAGATCGATGGAAATGAGAACATCATGATCGTCGCATATCTTTAGACTTCTCTCTGCGAAAGTGATGTCTGCTGATACTTAGGTTGCATCGAGCTAAACTCTGGATTACTTTAGTAAAACTCAAATGATAACAATGTCGACTGTGTTTTCTGGAATTCTGTTTGTGGCGTTAGAAGCAACAGCGAAGATGCACCCCTGCTCTTCCGCCGAAAAAGCTCAAGCTGTGGCGCATGCGTCCCGAAGCTTCTCCGAACACGCGTCGCGGCAGTGGCTGGCTTCTTGCCCAAGCTCACCCTCCCACCACACCCGTCAATATGGAATCAGCCAACCAAGCGCTGATGCAAGCTCTATCTGCATGCGTGCCTGATACTTACGCGCCTAGTACATACGCCGCTTGATCCGTATACAGCAATGTCATCGTCTCCACGCTCGTCCATCGCGACGAATAACGCTCGCGGAAGAAGCAGGCTCAGCGCCAGTAGTATCTAACTTGAGAAGCCCACAAAGGCTGCAGGCTTGGCGACGCGTCTCATAGTTCCATCATCAACTTAGTATCATTATTTACATCACAGCCTCCTTACAAGTTTCTAGCAATGGCGCTTGGTCGAGGCTGGTCAAACATCGCAAAGCGGCACTACCTTCGTTTACTACACACTTTGGAGGGTAGATGCGCGATGCCCTCACATCGTCAAATTGACACTAATCCCTTGTTCTGCTACACGAGCGGACGATGGCTATGGAACGAGCGCGAGCAACTGAAAGCCCGATACCGACGCTTTGACATGTCCAGTCTTCAGCAAGCGGCTTGCCAAGCCGTCGGTGCAAACAAGTGTATATCTTTCAAGAAGATCGGCGAAGGCAACTACAACAAGGCATATCGCCTTGAGATAGAAGACGGCCAAAAGATCATCGCAAAAGTCCCACACCCTAATGCTGGCCCAAGAGTGCTTACCACGGCATCGGAAGTGGCAACTATGGAGTTTGCCCGGACCATCTTAGACTTACCAGTCCCACGAGTTCTCGCTTGGAATGCTACCGACCAACATCCTGTCCAAGCAGAATATATCATCATGGAAGAAGCAAGTGGCTCTCAACTGCACGAAGTTTGGCAGGATCTCCCACTGCGGAGGAAATGTGACATTATTCGTGAGTTTGTAGACGTTGAAAGGAAACTACTCTCCGTTTCCTTTGAAAAGTAAGATCCAGCTTTCTCCAACAGAGAATTTGCGGCCAGTTCGACTTACACACACTGTCAGATTTGGATCATTGTATTTTAAAGATAGTGGTATCGCAGGATGCGAGCCGGCTATCGTTACAAGTGGTCCGCAAGATGTCGTCGGTCGCATCGAATCAACTTATTGCATTGGACCCATCACTCGAAGGGAGTTCTGGGAGAAGCAACGCAGTGAGATGCAATGTCACGGTCCCTGTAAGTTTGTTGATACCTGTGAACCTCGAATCCAGACTTACAATGATTGTAGGGACATCTTCTGCAGAATACCTAAAGTCTGTCGCTCGCCGTGAGATCGAATGGATCAATGCCCATGCGAACCCACAGGAGCCGAGTGAAACTCCATGGCAGTACACGAGTCCACATCAAAAGTCTCCAGAGGCTCACACAGTCCTGTTAGAGAGATTCTTAGCCGCAGTTCCGTACATCACTCCCAAGGACCCAGAGCTCGTCTCTCCCAGACTTTGGCACCCAGACTTCCATACTGGTAACGTCTATATCGACAACCAAGACCGAATCTCATGCATCATTGACTGGCAGGGGGCCTGGGCTACCCCGGTGTTCATCGGTGCCAATCCCCCATTGCTTCTAGACTATGGGATTGACATGTTGATGAAGCTCCCTAAAAACTTCAAAGCACTCGACGATGCTACAAAAGATAAGCTCAAATACCAAGTGTCCCAGTCTATCTTAATTCACACGTACGAAGAGTCTGCGGTGGAGAGGAACCCTCTGATGTACAAGGTTATGCATCATCCCCATGGCCAGACCCTCAAACAATTAGAAGCTTTTGTTGGCTCTACCTGGGACAACTGTCTCTTTCCCCTTGAAGAATGTTTGATTCGCGTTGAGAGGTGCGTTAATCTGTTTGCCCTTGAGTTCTCTGGCTGACCATTGTCGCAGTGAGTGGAGCCACTTTGGTACAAACGAACCATGTCCGTACCATTTCTCAGCAGAGGAGATACAGCAACACGACGAAGAGGCGGGGTCTTTCAACAAGAGCCAGGAACTCTGGAAAGAGCTACAAGGTGTTTTGACTGATGAGGGCTATGCGTCGAATGAGGGTTTCAGCAAGGCTGTCGAGATAATCAGAGACTTGCGAGAATTCGGGCTAAGTGGCCTGGAGGGCGAGGAACGACGCAGCTTCGACAAGGAGACGCGCTGGGTCGCAAATTTACGCAGCCGCTAATTTGTTGCAAAGGAAGATTGTTGATGGTATGCGATGTCAAACAGAGGGCGCATGGATCGGCCTTCGTGAGTGGAAGGCTGTTGAGGCTGACTAAAGAGATCGGAAGCGGAGTGAAGTTCCACTCCGTTGGCCCCGCCTTGAACCAAAGCTAGATCCGCATGGCCAGAACATAGTGATGTTGCAGGTCGTGGATGTCGCGCTCTGTCCTGGAATCAAAAGGCCCGATTCAACGTATGCGGATTTAGGAGGCTGGGTTCGCAGTCTCGATGGTCGAGCGCCTTCGCGCTTAATGGTAGCGTTCCTTCCACGTCGCGACGTTCCAGTTTGGATCGCACCTAGCGACACCCTGCAGAAATGACGAACATCTGAACTCCATCGGACGAATCGAGTAGCCCACCATGATTGATCAGCAACTATGCACTGCTTGTAGGAAGAGCCGCGACTTTTCTTATTTATCGATCGCGAAGTCGTGCGACACCGACATTCAATTCATCAGGCCTATTCGCGCAATCGTCCAAAGCAAATTTTCCCCAATCCAACGACCGTCATGACCTATCCATCTACCTACACGGCCTACCGTCGCAGCGCCGGTCAAGAAAAGGCCTCTCGTCAAAACCCTCTCACCCTTGAGCAAAGCCAAGAAAATCTGCCGCAAGAAAAAGACCTCGGCCCCAACGATGTAGTCATCAAGATCCACGCTGTATCGCTCAACTACCGCGACGTCGCTATGCTGGTAGCTGAGTACCCGCCTGCTGTCACGGAACAAGGTATCCCATGCTCTGATGCCTCCGCCGAGGTCGTCGGTTTGGGCTCTGCAGTCAAGAACTTCAAAGTGGGAGACATTGTTGCCCCGATTTGCAATCAAGGCGACTTTCATCCCACGGATGACAGCATCTCGGTGGCTATCGGTGCGAACGGTGCGGGCGTACTGAGGGAGTATGCCGTTTACCAGGAGAAGCATTTGGTGCACTTGCCGAAGCATTTGTCGTGGGAGGAGGTGAGTTGTTCAGAAAACATCTGCAAATGCGTTGGGCTAATACAAGAAAAGGGCGCAATGTTGCCGTGTGCAGGTGTCACTGCTTGGAATGCCCTGGATTCGTTGGAGACGGTACAAGAGCACTCTAGTGCTCTACTACAAGGTAAGGCAAGATATCTGAAAGCCCAATCTCTTACTCATACCTTCCAGGCACAGGCGGTGTTTCCATGTTCTCCTTACTGCTTTGTCTCGCCGGTGGCATCACTCCAATCATAACCTCATCCTCGAACGACAAGATCAAGGCGATCCAAGATCGGATCAGCGACAAAGTCCGCGGTCTAAATTACAAGACCGACGACCAAGCTGCCAAGATCAAGGAACTTACAAATGACCGCGGCGTCGATTTCGTAGTCAACAACACTGGCGTCGGCTCCCTTATCGATGACATCTCTTACCTGTGCGCTCGCGGCGGCACTGTCTCGCTAGTCGGCTTCCTCGCCGGCTGGGAAGCGGATTGGAAGCCAGCTCAGCTGATGGCCCTGATGGGTAAGGGCGCCAAGCTCAAAGGCATCGCTGTAGGATCGAAGAAGGATTTCGAGGATATGAATGCGTTCATTGAGGACAAGAAGGTCAAGTTTGATGTCATGCTTGACAAGACGTTTGGGTTTGAGGACGCGAAGAAGGCCTTTGATCTTCAATTGTCAGGCAACTTTTCTGGTAAGATTGTCATCAAGGTCGCGCAGTGAGGGACTCGTCAGACTGTTACAACATCTACTATGAATGAGTATCATTATTTACCCAAAGTACCGTCAAAGTCATTGCAATCGGATCATCACGAGACGAGCGCGGAAACAAGAACATGCAGTATCATTATTTCAATCATCCTGTGATCTGCATGTATGTTTCCGAAAAGAGTCAAAACTGTGGCCAAGCATAGGATGCAGCTGAGCGATTCCCAGATTCGTGCCGCCATTGGCTTGATCTGTGCTCAAGCAACAGCACTATGATGCTTATCTTCGATCAAACCTCAACGGTGGCTTGCAAGCCGACACAGCCCCGCAAACTTACGGACATGCACCGATCTTATTGGTCGGCTGACAGCACAGCCTCTAGTGACACCCTATCATCTCATCAGGCATCCAACATCCAGCTAGAATCACGAGCTTGTGGATGACCGACAAAGCGGCTGCAGCTGGCTGATAAACATGACAAGAGTGCTGTCGCACGTTTGATCTTACAACTACTTACTCCATACTTTCTCAGAGCATATCCACTTCCCACAACATAGGTACCATTATGGAATCGGGAAAGAAAATGGGCATCCCGACTACTCCACAAGAAGCAGCACCTGCCTACGAGGAAGTATTCCACGACCATCCCGTGAACCGATACGGGCCCTCTGGATCAGCATCAGCCGTAAGCTAATCTACCACATTGTGTCACAAGCCTCCAATCTTGCTAACCCATCAATTCACAGTACACGACCGTAAGCCAAACCGATGACAACGACATCGAACTCCACGCTGAACCCCACAACCACACTTCTTCCGGCAACCTCTCTTCATCAACGTCAAACACTGAGACGTTGGCTCAGACCATCACTAATTTCCTTCGACCGAACCCCGAACCACACACGCATTGCGAGATATGCGACAACCACGTGCAGACAGAAGCAAGACGCACGCGAGAGAGCGAGCGTTACTGTTGTACCATGGTCGCAGCGACCATCATGGTTTGTTTCTTCTGCGGCACGTTGTTGGGTATTGCGGTTGTGAATATGCAAGCGAGAAAGCGAAGGGCTCAGGATTAGAGGGATGACATGTTGTCAATCATGGATAGGTTGACTATGTAGTTGAACAAGTCATGACTGTCTAACTCTAAACTTCCAAACCTTCACGCAACTTAAACCACAAACCGCTGTCCACAGGCGGTAAACCTCATCCCCTGAATGCACGACCGAAAGAGTCCCTCTTTGCACTCGTCTTCGCGATTCTGAAGTCAACACAAGATTCGTATGTCTGCTTAGCCGCTACTCCATACCACCACCACTGCAGCACCTACACTCTGTTAGCATCTCCCATAGATTACTCAACCCATGAGAACTTACACAATCCCCTGCCTTCGCACACCTCTCCTCCAACCCCTCCGGCACCTTAACACTAAACTCCTTCTGCCCCACCGGGACATCAGCCTCACTCTTCCCCGGCGCATACCCCTCCTCCCACACCTTCAACATCTCACCCACGACCTCATTCTTCTTCGTATCCACAATACTCACGTTCGCAGATCCCTCATGCGGAATGCGGATCCACACTTTCATGGGGACAACCTGGCCCGCGCTCCATACCTGCGTGTTATTGGACGGGTTGTCGGCGAATTGGAGGCCTTTGCAGAGCCAAAGGTTGCAACTGGAGGCGGTGTAGGGGGGAAGGAGCAGCTCGGGGAGGCCTTCGACGTGCGAGGTGTTGTCGCCGTTTATGGTGCGGGTTATGGCGGGGCCGCAGAGGGATGTTAGTTCTGGGCCGGTGGGACGCGAGGGTGGGGAGGTGATGAGGCCGTGGGAGAGGGCCGTGGGAAGGAGGGAGAGGAGGGTGGTTGCGGCGACGGCGGTGAAGTACATGATGAAGATATGTGTAGGGGCGAAGTAAGGAGATTGAGGATGGAATCGACCTGCTTGGATGTTCAAGATACGTGCGATGGACGTGGTCTTTATACTCTTATCGAATTCCCATTGCTATCATTCATTTCTGCATATTTTCGTCCTACACCCCCCTATCTCCGTGATTCCAAATCAAATCCCCGTTCGTTGTCGTGCGTGCCAATTTATCTGGGGATGCTATGTGGTTCTTGTGTGGAGCTGCTATGGGAGGTGGGTGTAGATCGCCAAGGATGAGCGAATGAGACGGGGATGTGTATAGTGTCGGCTCGGTAAGGCTGCCCTTGCTATGCCGGATAGTACACGACAATTTATTCGAGAAAAAGAAGCAAGGGGGACATGGTAGTTTGCCGATGTATAGCCGGCCAAAATATGGGTGCTGTGTAATGTTGTACTGTCGTGCCTGGGCAAACCGAGGTTAACACCACTTCAGCGCGCACAATTGCCCTGGGAGATTTGCCATGTCATATGTCATCGTTATTAGCTAGTCGCATTGGACGTGTAGCATACCTAACATCTATGCTTTTATTGTACATAACTTCGGGAGCTGTCAAAGTTCCCCCTTTCACCTCTTACTCTAGCAGGGAAGCTTGGTTGGTGTAAAGTACATCGACCACGTTGCTCAGCTTCTCTAGAGTACTGAGTGCCGCGTCGTAGCCCTGGTCTCGCTCCGACTCGTCGTAGACGATCAGACATCCGGCACCCTGGTCCAGAACTCCGATGATGACCTTGTCGAGGATCATCTGCGAGAGCTTGCGCTCAACCTGTATTGTGTCGAGACCGACCATCTTGGCGACGTGGTCAATCTCTACCCTGCTGAAAGGCTCGATGACCTTGATCAGGTTCTGCTCGAGCATGTTGTCGTACAGGCGTCGGAGGTGGGAGGTGATGAAACGGTCGCTGCCTAGCTGCTGGCGGAAATCGGTCAGGGCGGTTTCGTACTCTTCGAGACTGCGGTTGGTGTGTGCGCGCGCTACGGCCTTCATGGCTTCTAACCGCTTGCCTGCGTACTTGACAGCGTGCTTGGAGGTCATGAGCGAGGTGACGTCGTCTCCGAGGTTGAGCATGATCTTGCAAAGCAACATGTACTGGAGTGCCGAAGTAGCCTTCTGCTCTTCGTCCTGTGAGTGGTACCCCTCCATGGCTTCGATGAAGTAGGAGAAGGAGGTGTTGAAGTCGCCGTCCTCTGCGTGCAGCATGCCACTCTGCATGTCGAGACCAGCCTGCAGCAGAGGCGGAGTGTAGACCGAAGCAGCCGATGTTCGTGCGGACGTGAGGGCAGCGCGACCCTTTGGTATGTTGCCCAACGCGTGGTAGACCCTTGATTCGAGCAGCTGAACCTCGACCAAGACCAGCTTGTCGTCCAAG